TAGAGCCCACATAGCAAACGGGCATGGGGATAAATAAGAAAGAGGGCCTTATTCACCCTCCACCAAAGTTGCATAGAAAAGTCTCAGAGACAATCCAAGAGCAACAAATTGTTCCATCACCTTCAAGGCAGTGGATATCAACAACCCATTTGCATGATAGTCTCCTCTTGACTCCAGCGTTATATCAAAATCTTAACTTTCCAAAGTTGTTTGGTGTTGGCACCTATTTTGCACAAGAATGCAATGTCAGGTTTCCAAGACCTCTGCGTATTGATAACTTAGTTGAGGATGATCTATCATGGTTAGTATGGTCAAGACCTTTAATGAGGTTGCTCTAAATCAAGACGGCTGCTTCTGCCTCGATTCATGGTTTTGACGACTTTGAGAATGCTTTCAATGGTTGATTTTTTAAAACCGAAACTTTTTATGAAAAACCCAAGGTTTACAAATACGGCAAGTACAAACAATGAAAATATAAAATATGTTTTATCCAAATAACATATTGCCCAAACCCAGTTTTTAAAGTACTTGAAAAGAAAATCTGGGTTTTTAGTGAAAGCCATATTTCCTATTAGTCAAAGCTAAAGGGCACCCCTGAAAGTTAGACAATGCAAAACCTTTTGTACGCTTGAACGACCAAAATTTAAAATGGGAAATTTATTAAAATACCCATAAGAGATGAATTATTTAAAACTTTGCCTATTTGCAGCTATTCAAACTCAAGATCATGTGTTTTTCATGGGTTTTTTTAAAATAAATCAAAAGATATATGCATAATGTCAAATGGTTCTTCAATTATAGGTGATTTGATAAATTTCCCATTTCAATAACAAGAGGCATATACAGTGTGATTCATATAATCATGAAAGATCAACATGAACAGCTAGAACTTAAAAATTAGAGGATTGATACGGAGATAAACTTATAGCATTGCCACTGGCCCATCACCATTGATGGGCTTTAGGAAACCACTGATTGTGACCAAAACAGTTTTATTTTGCTTGGTGGCACTTGAAATTTCAGTCTTTTATGTTCTTGAGGGAGGAACTTTTCTCAAACGAAGGCATTTACTCGAGCAATTAGAATGCAAAAGCTGTCAGTTAAAATGCCAGTTCCCCTCTCCAAGTATCTGGCTTTCGTTGCAACTCCAATGTACTCATTTTTATGGCATATACATGATCTACAATCAACTAGAATCAGGGCCATTTGTACGCAGGAAAAGTTGGGCATAAGCTAAAGAATATTACACAAGCACGGTTGTGTGGAAGACTACATTTACAAATAGCCGGACAAAACCTTGGATGGAAAGCCCGTGGACCCCTTTCAAACCCCCTCCCTACCTATTCTCGTTTTCTAAATATCTTTATTATTTTTTTAATGATTTCATCATCCAAATCCTAGAAACGCTGCCCCTCTCTTAATCACCATTGGAACCCTTCTACCATCTCTCCCTCAAATCACTTGAACCCCATCTCTCTCTCTCTCTCTCTAACGTGACAAGTAGTTTAAATGTGTCCTCTCTCTCAAGTAGCCTCTCTCTTAATCAGTTAACGACCCCATCTCTCTCAACGTCACTTAGACCCCCTTCTCTCTCTCTCTCACTCCCTCTCTTTCAATCTCTTGAAGCTCACAATTAGTTTAAATGTAACATCTCTCTTATAAACCTCACAAATAGTTTAAATGTGAAAGAAGGAAAACCAATTCAAAGTTTCAAACTCGACAGTCTCTTTCTTTTCTTTTCTCTTGCTCTGTCGCTCGCTACTCTCGTTCTATCTCTTATCTCGCTCTATGGCTCCCTACTGTCTCCCCCTCTCAAACCTCTACAACAAGCTCTCTCTCCCCCTCTCAAACCTATCTCCATTTGACGCTCCCTGCAACAAGCTCTCTCTCCCCTCCTCAAATCTATCTCCATTTGATAATTCTCTCGCACTCCTCTCAAACCTTTGATGTTCCCTCTCTCCCCCTTTTCAAACCCCTGACACTCCCTACAGGAGGGAGCTCTCTCCCCCTCTCAAACCCCTGACACTCCCTATTGCAGCAATCTCGCTCCCCCTCTCAAACCTATCTCCATTTGAGAATTCTGTGGAAACTTTAGTTTTCCGACAAAGGAAGCAGCAGCAAACTCTACCACGTCCATTTGAGAATTCTCTGGAAACTTTAGTTTTCCAACAAAAGAAGCAGCAGCAACCTCTACCACGTAGAGAGAGAACCATCGCCCAACAACAGCAGCCATTACCAGCGCCTAGCAGCCGCCATCGCCACCACCTATCAGCAGCAATAGTAGCGCTCGTTGTTGCATCTTAAGAGCCAAATCTAGACTCCAGCGAGAGAGATATAAACACTAGCAAGGCAGTTAACATCTGATAGGTCAAATCTAGCCGCTTTGCGAGCCACCATCAACCTTTGCCACCGCCCAACAGCAGCAGTAGCAACAACAATATTGGATCTTGCCTCCACAAAGCCAGATCTTTCTTCCAGAGGGCTAGATCTAGATACCGTTTGGCAGTTCTAGCATATGTTTCCATATTTCCTTTTTGAGCGGAGATTTATGCATTCCTCTCTCTTGGATCTTAGTTTTCATACTCATATATATTTTGCTATGTCTTTGATTTGAGCTTAGATTTCTCTTTTTTCTCTCCCTCTCTCCATTCTGTTCTCTCCCCCCTTCTCTCTCTCTCTCTCTAAACTCTCCCCTTCTACGTCTCTTCCTCTTCTTCTCTTTTCCCTTCTTTTAATCCACTCTCACTCTTCTGTTTTTTCTTCTTTTATTAGTGGTTCTTTTGTTTTTTGTTTGAGAGTTATGGTGTAGTTTTAGAGGCTCCCCTCCCCCTCACCTTCTTTTTTGTTCGTATCTTCGATCCGCCATTCCATTTCCCCTCCCTTTTCTTTTCCATCTCCTCTTGCCATTGCCCTCTTTCGTCTATGATCTCTTCTTGGCTGTCGACCTCCTTTCCTTTTCATCGTCTCTCTTCTTCCCAAGTGGGTTAACGCGCAAGACGGGATCTCCCCTCTTATTGCGACTGGTATCCTATCATCAGTCTCTTTTGGTCATGAGTTGTTCTTCAGTTTTCGTAGATCCCTGTATCTGTCGGCATATGTTAACGCCTAAAGTGGGGCTTGGTTTCTACTGCCCCAAGGAGCAATATTGTGGTTTTCTCTTGGTCCTCTTGGGGGCCTTGAAATTCCTATAAATAGTCGCATGTAATTTTTGGGGGTTGTTTGAGCCGTCTTATTGTCTTCATTCACAAACATCATTTCGTTCCATGGAATAAATAAATCGAAAATGTTCTCATCAATATATTTTTTTTCTCGATACCTTCGATCAAATTCTTGCTTAATCTTAAGGACCAATGAAATACTTATGGTTTGATACATAAAAAATTGTATATGGTTCGATAATCAATACTCTTTTTTTTATCAATTCTCTAAGAGGTAGATCCTTTTCAGTCAAGAGTATATCCAACCACATTTCTCCTCTTTGAATAGCAGATATAACAAAAGAAATTTTATCCATGAGTCTAAGCGAGAGACAATATAATTTACTATTATTGATCATTTTTTTCTTCAAAGAGTCATCCCATCCCAATTGAAAAAGCTACGACACAATCAAACTCAGATGAACAAAATGTTGAATTGAATCATACCAGTCTGTATGGGGGCTTATTACTCATTTTTGTATTTTTTGTTTTATTTTCAAATTATTTCTTCAATTGATTGAGAGAAAGAAAACAAATTCTCTTATAACATTCAGAAGGATATCATACTCATAATTATCTATGATTGTTTGTCTCTAGCATGACCACTTGATGAAATGTGGAGCGAAGTGGGGTAAATGGCCGTACTACGGGAAGAACTACTTCTTGCCTTTCTTTGTTTCCTCTTCTCCTTACTAGACTCTCTCATGGCCTCCTCTTTTTCCCCTCTATCCTGATTCTTTTTTTAACATACATTTTGCCCTATTTTCGGTTGCTTGTTGCGAGCTGCTACCGTCCTACTCAACGCCGCCATTGTTTGGCACCGTTTCAGACACCATCCCAACCTTCCCTTGAGAGTCTTGTAGATGGGATGCATGTGTTTGTGTTATTTTTGGAGAGGATTGGTGTAGATGGTTCTCGGATAGCTCTTGGATTGATCTCGGTGGGCTTAGAATGCTTGTGTTGGTCGTACTGTTGAGGTTTAGATTTTGTAGTATTAGCATTTGAGTGAGTTCATCGCTAGAAATAGGGAGTTCTTTATTTCTTCCTTTGTTTTTCTTATGTAATTCTAGAGCTTTGCTCCTCTACAATTAATGAAACTTACCCTTACCGTTCCAAAAAAAGTAGTTTAAATGTGGCATCCCATATTCCAATTGAATAACTGCATCATTAAAAAAAGAAAGATAAAACATTATAATTCAAACAATAAAATAAGTAAAGGGGTTATTTGGGATTGCAATTGTAGATAGGGATGTGTGGGTCCTTTCCCCAATTATAAAGACAAAATGGAGAATTGGTGGTGCATCATACATACATGACCTATGCAAAGTGTTTGTGAATCCGATGAATAAGAGCAATACCAGACAACCAATTCAAGATCCTTCTCAGTTTTAGATCAAGATGGGCTTCTTGCGCCCCAAACTGGACCGCAGTCGAGCTAATTTGGAAGACTGGCCTAGTGCTGCACAGAAATCCAATCTTTTGCTACCTTGTCTCCCTTCCAACCTCAAAAGAACTACACTTTTTTTCTGGGCTCACGATGTCCCCACATTTCGCCATTGTTTCTCATTTATTACTGCAAATCGCAGCACCAGCTTGGCTTCTTCGAGCAATCGGGTGTTTTATTGAGTGATACAAATGCTTTCCCCAAGAGGTATGTTGATCCAGTGACCTGCTCCAAGGCCTCTGATGGAACAGTTGAACATGGCTTAGAGCTTTTTAGCCATAGGATACTACACAATTTCGATTTGATGCCAAAGGGGTCTCATGAAGACTGAAATTTGCGATGTAGAAAGAATTGTACACAACGGAAAGTAAACGTACCGTAACCCAATTAGGAAGAAAATGGGTACAAATGTTGCCATCGAGCAGTGAAAAAGAATTTAAAAAAAAAAGAACCAAAAAAAAGGGAGAGAGGTTTTTATGGCTTAGTTCCCTGTATACAGATAGCTTACAGTGAATAAAGTTAAACTACTGCCAAGAATCACTAAAGGTCGGGTTCTCATCCGAACTTCAACACCTAGCGAACCTGTATGGCAGATCTACATTCTCTTACACCAAACTTCCCAACCTCTCACCCACATAACTCCCCGAAGATCAGAAGATCAGCACCATAAATAGGCCCCTCAAATATTATACACATTAACGGAAAGGAGAGCGTCTCTCTCTCTCTCACACACACACTCTCCTCTCTCTGTTTACTAAGATCCCACAGGCTGAGCAACACCTTTGGCTTTGGCAGCTGCTGCAGCAGCAGCCGCGGCAGCCGCAGCTGCTGCTGCTGCTGCTGCTGCTGATGCTGATGGTGTGGCAGATGGAGGCACGGGCACAGCCGATGAGTTGGTCTGAGATGCAGCAGTCTCCTGTTGCTGAGAGTTCACCTGTGCTAGCAAGCTCTTTATCTGGCTTCCTGATAACGTTTCATGTTCCAAGAGTGCATTAGCAAGCACATGCAGCTCATTGTTATGCGTAGTGAGAATCGTCTTCGCATTATTGTAAGCTGTCTCTAGAAATTCTCTCACCTCCTTCTCAATCACTAGCCTTGTCTCGGTGCTCATACTCTTTCCGTTATCATCATAATTGTGAGAGACAAGACCCACCTTTTCACTCATCCCAAACTTTGTGACCATGGCTCTGGCAAGAGAGGTGGCTTGTTGGAGATCAGAAGATGCTCCTGACGTGACTTCACTCTCTCCAAATATGAGCTCTTCAGCCACACGCCCACCCATGCACACGTCGAGGCGAGCGAGCATTTGCTTGCGTGAAACACTTGTCTCATCTTTCTCAGGTAGCTGTGCAACCATACCGAGAGCCATTCCTCTTGGGACGATTGTGGCTTTGTGCACAGGATGGGCCCCTTCAGTGTGGATGGCGACCAGGGCATGGCCGCCCTCATGGTAAGCCGTTAGCTTTCTTGACTCGTCAGAGATCACGGCGGATTTTCTCTCACTACCCATCATGATCTTGTCCTTTGCATACTCCAAATCAGCCATGCTCACGGCTTTCGCACCATCCATGGCAGCCTTGAGAGCGGCAATGTTGACCAAGTTTGCAAGGTCTGCACCGGAGAATCCTGGCGTGCCTCTAGCGATGATCATCAGGTCGACATCATCCCCTTTCAGAATCTATTAAACAACTGTCTTGTGTTAGCTGGATACACACACACACACAGAAAGAAGATAAAAGTTTGGTGTGTGGGAGTGGGAGGGGATGGGGGGTCAAGAGTGGTACAAGGATAGTGAATCCCCAAAAACAAAAGTTGGATTCAACCAATACCCAGATAGGATGCACTTCCTTTTGAAGACATGAGGTTGTGTGTTGATACCCAACTTACAGGTATAAGAAACTAGAAAAATATAGATGCGCACGTGCACGCACACACACACACACAGAGACATCCACACAGAATCACCTTTGACATGTGAGACTCCATAATCTGCCTTCGCCCTTCAACATCTGGGTTGGGAACAACTATATGACGATCAAAACGGCCGGGCCGCACGAGCGCCTTGTCCAGTGACTCAGGGAAGTTTGTTGCAGCAATTACAATAATCCCATCATTTTGCTTGAACCCATCCAGCTCCACCAGCAACTGGTTCAATGTCATCTTCATGTATTGCTGATCTTTTGGGTTGCGACTTCCTCCTATGGCATCAATCTCATCAATAAAGATTATGCAAGGAGATCGCTTCTTAGCTGCAGCAAAAAGGTCCCTCACTCTCCTGGCTCCCACACCAACAAACATTTCTTCGAATTCACTGCCACTGCATGAGAAGAAAGGTACACCAGCTTCACCGGCAATGGCTCTGGCTAACATGGTCTTCCCAGTCCCAGGTGGACCAACAAGCAAGACGCCTTTAGGGAGCTTGCCCCCCAATCGAGTGAAACGCTGAAATGGTATCAGAGAAGTAAAATAAGAACAAGACAATAGAAGGTAGAGAAGTAATGGCTGAAACAGACATACAAATTCATTTCACTAGCATGAAAGATACATAGCCATAAGCCACTTCGAAAGCAATTTTATTTTCCAATTATGTAGAGGTATTCAGCAATGTGTCCTACTAGGGCTTCACAAAGCCCAAACAGTACAAGTACAACAGAGAACATGGTACCACATCTTGCAATCACTTGTTGCCAAATACATATCTAAAATTGACTACTAGAACCAAGTTGCCATATGGAGAATTAGTATGTATAGCCAACTCTTCAGTAAACAACTTTCAGAGGGCCATTTCATCAATCATGAATTCCTGGTTAATTATGAGGTCTACACAGATTAATCGATGGAATCTATAGAGAGTCCACTGCTCACATATGATGCAATAAATATAATGACAAATGATTCACGGCAGAAAGTCTTGATAGTTACAGACCAGAAGTATATAACCTCACCAAAAATAAATTAGTCAATAAGAGATCAATTAGAAAGGGAAAAAATCTTGCCAAAGAGTCACTAGGATGTCTACTTAATCCCCTATTATTCTCCCTTAAAAGAAAAAAATAAATCATTATGATAGTTTGGTACATCACGCAAGTGGATGGGTCTCAAAAGCTTCAATCAGTCTTGGGGACCGCTCCTATTAGTGGAAGGAGGCGCACATAATATTATTTCCTGGGCAACCGAGAGGTCACCACCTCCATGGTACCTAGCTTCGATTTTTTATGAGATTGCTTACATTTGCAGGGATATAGTCGTCTCATGGAAGCATATCTGGAGGACGTCCAACGAGTTCGCCAACGAAAGATGGGGCTAGGGGCCAAGTAGAAGACCATGCCCAGTTCATCTCCTTTTTTGCTCTGGACTACAAAGGCCACACATCATAGAAAATGTCTTTGTAATGGGGTAAATCTATAGGCCCATTTTTGTAACCCCACTGTAAATCTATTGTAATCGCGCAGGTCTATAAGCCCATTTTTTGTACAAGGTCTGATGACCTCCTTTTTACCAAGAGACCCGTCAAGTGCGCACTCTCGGACTACCCCACATCTGTACTCCAACTCTTCATAGCAATAAAAAGTTAGCCTTACTCTCAAAAAAAAATTATTTGGAGAATACCTGACCTTCCCTTTTTCTTGTGAAGTAGTAGACTTAGTACCCTTTCCTTAATACCAGTCATGTGCCAGCAAACTATAATGGATGTTCATACACTTAACATATTCAAGATTAGAAACAGAAAACTACAATAGATTTTGATACAATTAATATATTACAGATGGAAAAGAGTATTAGTATTTAATTTCTGATACAACTGTCTTATAATTTGCGGCATCATCTAGAAGGTAGACAAAAGCGAATCACAAATTTACGTACTAAAATTGAAAAGCCACTCCCCACCACTTTTACCTTTGGATCTCTAAGATAATGAACAATTTCTTCCAACTCAGCTTTTGCCTCATCAACACCCTTTACATCATTAAATTTTGTATTAGACTCCATGCTTGGCTGAACCTCTTCATTTAAACCAAGCCCTGCATATGTCAATCATGTGAGGAAGGATCATGCCTTTGAAGTGCACATGACCACACATTTAATGAATTACATGAACTTAATCAAAAGGAGGGCCATACCTTTGCTGATGCCCCTGTCCTCAATAAGTGCTCCGACACCAGAAATGAGGAGAAAAGCAAGGGCAATAGTACGAAAAGTTCTCCACAACTGTTCTTTGAAATGTCCGCCTTCTGCTGTCACCATATGGATAGGAGCATTGGCAGTTCCAAGAATACCCTCTTTTGTAGATTTTCCCACATTCCTCAAGGCTGATATACCCCCAATACTACCCTCATTTGTAGATTGTCCCACATTCCTCAAGGCTGATACACCCCCAATACTTTCTTCTTCTCTCAATGAATTAGTGATGCCTGCAAGCAGCTTATGGGTATCCATATCATTCAACTTAAAAAAAGAAGAAATAGAGAAATTAAACAGTCACGCAGAAATTAAAATATGAAAGCAAATGGCAGTCAACGAAAATTTCCAGTCCATTATCTTTATTTCTAAACATCAGTTAGTGTTGTTAGATCTCAAAAGGAACCAACTATTTTCTGTTTGTATCAGCAAAAGACAAGACTTCCATTGTTGGAATCACAATACCATCTAGGAACTAAGCACCCAAACTATCCATCTATGGTCATAGGGAGTTGTCGGTTTCATTTCCCTCAGGAGGTGGCCCACGAGTTAGCAGTTACGGTATTCAGTATTACACTTGTTGATAGTGCAAACATGTGGAAAACATCCATATCCATCACATATTCACCTAATAAATCACGCCAGAAGGTCCAGAAACATTGAATCGCAAACAGTTCCTTAAAACATTTTTTGTCTATTTTACCCTAAACACTGAACAGGCAAGGGTAGATTACATACAAAGCATATGATACAAGAAATATTGAAGAGAAGGGGGGAGATACGACTGCAAACGTATTTGACCAATTTTCCCTTGTTTGTTCAATGGTTTTTGGTTATTGAAATACTAAGCTAGCAAGGCCAAAAAAATTGTGATATAAACATTTAAAAATATATATATTTGATGTATTTTATACTTTTTATTTGTTTGGGAATTTAAAGCTGCACGAATGCCTAACGTAATGAAAATTTAGTTTAGCACTCAAACCACTGAACAATCAAGGGCAACATGGTACAATGCATATAACATGCACTTATTTCGTTTTGCCAAATGATCTTACTTGTCTGCTGCTTCATAAATCAATTGAGGGTAAAAAGTGATACGCAAAGACAATGGAAGATCATGATATAAGATACCATCATTCTCAATCACCTCCACAATTACGCATGAGATCCGATAGTGATATGAATTTTTTTATTTGGTAGGTCAGCAGTGTGCATGGTATGCATATTTTCTCGTAGCTATTCATTATATTATCCAGAGATTGAGTTCATGAGCTTCCTTAAAGACCAAGTCCACAAATAAATGTTAAATAATGGCAAATAGTTTTAACTTGCCATTGCCTCGTTTGTCATTTTTCAACTAGGAAATTTCTCTGTGAATGTGACTATTGGAAAGCAATGATGAGGGAACCGATGTTGCTGCAACATTTAACACTTCTGAAACTCGAAAAGTCAGACTCAAACTTGTCCAAGTCAGATGGACCCAACACCCTGCTGGGTCTGATGACCCCAATTCCGCAGGAACCCAGGTCCTAACCTGTACTGACGGGATTTCTGAAGCAACAGCTCACTTTCTGATTCACCCAAATCGACAAATCCCATTCCAAGTCACCAAAACCTCAGTAGCCTACCACTGTTACAGTAAACAGTGCCCCGGCAGAAATGAAATGTAAGTTTCAAACCGAGTAGATCAAAAACTAAAAAAGAGAGTTTTTGGATTTGGGATTTTGAGTTTGTGAAAAGATTTTGCAAACTTCAGACCAAGTAGATCCAAAGTCCAAACCCAAAGATACATCAGGGACTTCATTTTGAAGGGATTGAGGAACAACATGCAGCAGGTAAGTAATTAATGGTCATTTTATTTTAACATTTACATTTTCTTCCCCAAACTTATTTGAATTTATAATATAGCTTTAGATATGATATTTTATCTTCATAGAACTCTAGATTTATAGAGATCAAGAGTTTATGACATAGAACTAGCATACACTGACTAGTTGATTGTAAATTGTGAGTTGCGCCTTGCTAATATGGATTTGCAATGTGAACCTTCATATGCACTACGTACCAGCGTCATACACTTGTATGTTTGCTGCTTAAGATGACTTTGAAGTTGGAACAGAACTTGAAAGTTTGGTAGTAGGCATATGGTCTTCTGATGTTGTAATAAAAAATGAGCACTCTCTCATGTAATACCAGTACTGAATAACAATTCAAGGGAAAATTATAAATACCACCCCCCCCTTCCTCAATTTAACTTTCTAGACATCCCCAAAGCATTTTGTATCCCACCCTATACTATTTTTTTTTTTTTATATTTACCCCCCAAAATCAAAAAGTATATGGGTTTAGGACAAAAATGCCCTTACTTTCTTTCTTCTCCCCTTTTTGGAGTCACGTGACTCTCTCTCTACCCACACTCTCCCTCTCCCGAAAGTAAAAACCCATTCTCTCTCTTTCTCTCTCTCCCTTTCCCTCTCTCTCTCTCATTCGCGGTAATGCAGTTCCGCACACTTTGTGCCGAACTACATTACCAGCCTTAACTCAAATCTAACCGGTCCAACACCCTATGTGCCAGACGACATTACTGTGAATGAGAGAGAGAGAGAATGAGAGAGAAAGAAAGAACGGGTTTTTACTTTGAGAGATAGAGAGAGTTACATGACTCCAAATAGAGAAGAAGAGAGAAAGTGCATTTTTGTTCTAAACCCTTTGACTTTTTGATTTAGGAGGGGTAAATATAAGGAAAAACAATACTGGGATTTAGGGTGGGATACAAAAAGTTTTGAGGTATAAGATTTCTAAAAAGTTGAATTTGGGGGGGTATCTATAATGATCCCATTATTCAATTGGGCCCATGAATGCATGCCAAACAGGTCAAAGACTACATGTAGCCCTCTTCATCTATAAACTCTCTCTCTCTCTCTCTCTCTCTCTCTCTCTCTCTCTCTCTCTACTATAACTAATTATTATTACTTACTACTATATATACTTACTTTCTTACTTACGTACGTACGTACGTACCGTACCGTACGTACGTCGTACG